AAAAAAAAAAGGCCAAACTCACTGGACCAGTTGAGACCAGAGGACTCCAGGACTATTTCCCTATGATAGACTCTTTAAACCTTGAACTTAAATTATCCTGAGACTAAGGAGCTCTGATAGTGGTTATGAATCGGGCTGCTAACATCAGGGTCAGCAGTTCCAAACTACCAGCTGTTCTGCAGGAGAAAGATGAGGCTCTCTGCTCCAGTCAAGATTTACAGCCTCAGAAACCTTGTACAGGGTCATTATGAGTTGGAACCGGCACCACGACAATAACAACAACCTTTTAGCAAAGGTAACCATGGCTCACAAGACAAAGGGCAATTCCCTAAGTACAATGCTCTATTAAAAAATCACCTATATGAGACCAAAAGGTCAAAACTGATTTGAAAGGAAGATAAGAAGAAGGCAGGGAAACTAAAGTACTGGAAACAGAACCACCAGAATGCAATGAAAGAGAACACTGACACACTGTGGGAAAATATAGCTAATGACACTGAACAAGTTCTGTAGATATTGTCAAACGGGAACTTAATTTACTACATAAACTTTTCACCAAAAAACACAATAAAACATTATTTTAAAAAGAAAACATCTTGGGCAAGAGTTGGCAATACAACAAAAATGTACAGAGAGGTTGTGAAGCCTAGTTGAGAACTCAAAGATCATGCGTGGCACAGAGAAGGTGCTCAAATAGGAGTTCTGAGACAGCAGGTCAGCAGCAGTCCCCCAAGCCTCCCCAGAAGGGTGAACACTCAAAAGGCTGCAAGGAACTGGTAATTCTCCTACCATCTACAGCCAAAACACCCAGGTTTAAGACTTCTGGTCAGGTACTGACTAGCCCACTGTCTGATCCAATTCCAATTTCCTCATTTACGAAGTCAGAGAAATCACCAAAGCCATTCTCCAAGGATTGTGTATGTTCATTTGGTCAACAACTATGTAGAGCGCCTACTGTGTACCAGTCTTAGTCTAGGAACAGCACTACAGTGACTACAAAGAGCAAGCTCACTACTTTCAAGGAAGCTTATGTTCTGGTATAAGAGAAATCTTAACAAAATAACTGGTGTGCTTCATTGATTGCCTTGATGGCCCCATATTAATAGGTGCCTTAAATCCACATGTTCTGCCCTGTAGCTTTCTACTCTCCTGTCATTCTGAATTTGGGCTGGCTGGTGGACTACAGAGGAACTAAGGGAGCGCCTCATTCCAAGTTCAGGCCTCAACAGGCCTGGTGAGCTTCTACTCTGTCTTCTGGAATCCTGTCCTTGACGGTTTGTCTACTGAAGGAGGAAAGACCACACAAGGAAGGTCAAGTTGCCTCAGCTCAAAGCCAGACAATCTCTAGAAGCAGAAGCATCAGCCAACCTTGGTGGACATATGAAGGAATCCAGCCAAAATTAAAAGAATCACCCAGCTGAACTCAACCCCAACTGCCAACTAAAGAATTATGAGCAAACGGATACAGTATTCATTAGCACTATCAGAACGTATCTGTGTAAGAACAGCTACCATTCAATTGTTTGCGGTACCTGAAACTTTACAGAAAGGTCAGTTTAAATCAAAGTGAGAACCACAATGAAAAATAAAGTGAGGTCTGTATACCTGGCATTCTTCTACCATATAAGCATCTGGCTGGCACAGGCCCTTCCAAAGAGGTACACTTACCTTGCAAGAAAGAATGTTTCCAAAGGTGGAGAAGGTATCATATAAGGCCTTGTTGTCAATGGAATCCTCTAGGTTCTTGATGAAGATGTTGCCCACACCTGATTTGCGAAGTCCTGGGTCTCGCTGGGACCACATGATGCGGATGGGCTGGCCCTTGATTACCTCAAAGTTCATTGTGTCCAGTGCCCGCTCAGCTGGGCAAGAGGAGAAAGGAGCAAGTTAAGGGGATTTTCTTTCCTTGAGTCACCAAAGTGAGCCTTCTAGCTTAAGTGGGAGCCAAGAAATAGTCATTGTCTGAGTCTCACCTGAGAAAAGAGCCTGAAAGCTCAGGTAGGACAAGAAAAAATGAATATATATGGTGTTCCTCCCACCTTCCCGTTATCTCATTAGAACACCTCACTGTAGATATATGAGCATGGATTCCTAATCCTATTTTACAGATGGAAAAACTGAGGTTCACCTGAGAGGGAGGCAGAGATGATGACGTGGAGAGATGGACCGGCTGGGGACTTTAGACACAGAGAGGGAGAGAGGCTGTGTGCTGATGACCGGGGGGCAGGCTTGCAGTGTATACTCTTTGGTTGGTTGATAACGCATGGAGGGGATTGTAACCATGGCAATGAAACGATATAAGATAGGATGAATGTAAAACTAATGTTCTCCCATGTAAACTATCACATTGTTGTTGTTAAGTGCCGTCGAGTCGGTTCCGACCCATAGCGACCCTGTACAGGGTTTCCGAGGCTGTAAATCTTTACGGGAGTAGAAAGCCTCATCTTTCTCCCGCGGAGCAGCTGGTAGTTTCGAACCGCTGACATTAAGCTTCGCAGCCCGATTCGTAACCACTACGCTACCAGAGCTCCTTCAAATAATTCACAATAAAACATTAAAAAATAAGTAAATTAAACAAAAACAACACTGAGGTTCAGAGACTCAGCGGCAGAGCTAGGCCTACTCCACCCTCTGAAGACATACTGAGTAGACAGAAAACAGTGTTCTTACATGGCATGGGGATCCCTGGTGGCCCTGTAGATTAAGTGTTAGGCTGGAATTGAAAGGTCAGTTGTTTGAATCCCGCCATTCATCAGAAGCAGCCTGCTTCTGTCAAGATGTACGGCCTCAGAAACCCAATGGGGCACTTCTCCTGTTCGAATGAGTTGCTATGATTTCAAATCAACTCCATGGCAGCGGGCTTGGGCATTTTTGTTTTTCATTTTTGAAATAGCCTATGGGTTTTGTTGTTGTTACGTGCCGCTGACCCTGTATAGGATTTCTAAGGCTTTAAATATTTGTGGAAGCAGAAAGCTTCATCTTTCTCCCACGGGAAGGCTTGAACTGTCGATCTTGTGGTTTGCAGTCCAGTGTTTATCCTGTAGAGCCACCACACTCCCAGGATATGGGGTGGCAGGCAACAACATGAGGAAACTAAAGCTCCGAGATGCTGAGTAGCAGCAGTGTAGTGGCTTTGGGAACACGAACCCTACCTCTCAGAGCCATCTTCCTCACCTGTAAGGTGGAGACAATATTACCTCCTTTTCAGCATCTGCTAAAGTTATCCAACTTACCTCGGGGTTAGACAAATTAAAAATTAAATGAGATCTGAAAGGTACTTTTCCCATTATGCCTGGCATAGAGTAGACATTAGGTAAATGGAATCAGTTACTGTCAAGTTCACACCAATTCATGTCAATTCCATGTGTCAGAGTAGAAGTGTACTCCACAGGTCACTTTAAAGGAGTGATTTAAAGGAGTCTCTGGGTGGACTCAAACTTCCAATCGTTGGGTTAACAACTGAGCTTGTTAAGCATTTGCACCACCCAGGGACTTCTTGATAAACTGCTGTGTGCTACTGAATCAATTCCAACCCATACCAACCTCACGTGACAGAGAACTGCCCCATAGAATTTCCTAGGCTGTAAGGAGCTCTGGTAGTGTAATGGTTACAAGTCGGTCTGCCAACCTCAAGGTCAGCAGTTCAAAACTACCAGCAGTTCCGTGGGAGAAAGATGAGGCGTTCTGCTCCCGTAAAGATTTACAGCCTCAGAAACCCTGTACAGGGCCGCTATGGGTCAGAACCAACTCCACGGTGCAGATTGCCAGGTATTTCCTCCTGAGAAGCCGATGGGTGGGTTAGAATTGCCATCAGTCAAGTGCTTAACCACGGTACCATCAGGTAGTGTTTCTGATCCCAGCAGCCTAGGCCCATTCCCCTGCCATTGTTACAGTCTGGTCTGTCTCCCACTGACCTGTAAACATGGGAAATAGTCTGTCTCCTGCTCCCAGGCCTCCCCTTGTTTCAGAGGCAGTGATAGGGGATGTAGGGAACCCAATGGAACAAGCCTCAGGGAGTCCGAGTTCTGGGCCAAGTCTTGCCATAAACCAACGTGGCAAAGTCCCTCCCCTCTCTGGAGCTCAGTTTCCTTATGTATGAAGCAGAACAAAAAGGTCAGGTTCTGCTTCATTCACAGGGTTCTGAGAGACAGGATGGGGCAACGGTGGGTAAAAGAAGAAGGATCCCTGAAATCCACCAATTCTCCATTCCTCCTAGTCACTGGGGAACATCATATTCCCATTTTACAGATGAAGAAATTGAGGTGTTAGTAAAATGACACACTAGTGGGACAGATTGAACTCAAATGGGTGCTCTTCATTAAATTTGATCCTCACCACTCACAACAGGATAAACAAGCTGTAATCTTTCCTCTGGGCTCTAAGAAACACTTTTTGGCACCCTGATGCGTAGCAGGCAACAACGGGTGCTGCCCCCCCAGAAGTCCTAGGCCCAGTTCTCCTGGCTTCCCCGCTTGTCGGCTGTGTCGTCTTGGGTATCTTCCTTGCCAGGTGCTCTGCATCTTTCACCTTCATAACTTCTCTAAAAAGGAGTTTCAAACCCCAATTCTCAGAAAGGCAACTGAAGGACAGAGTGAGCGAGTAACCTGTCCAAACACACAGCTTCGTGGTCTCTATCCCAGGTCTGCCTGACCCCGACGTCCCTCACCCTAGTTGTCCAGGTGAAGTCCTGGTGTGGCACTGTGGGCTAATGCGCCAGACTGCAAAGCCGTTTGAACTGCAACGTCAGCAGTTCAAGCTCACCAGCAGCTGCAACTCAACAGCACTTAACAACAGTTAACCCTGGTGTGGCGCTGCAGGATAATACGCTGGACCACAAGGTCAGTTTGAACAGCAAGGTTGGCGGTTCAAACCCACCAATCGCTCCTCGGAAACCCTATACAGGGTCTCCATGGGTCGGAACCCACTCGACGTCACTTAACAATGGTCCCTTATCTGTAAATAGGGACAAAACACAGTACCCAAAGCAGCCCAATGCCACCGAGTCCACTACAACTCATAACGAGCCTGTATAGTTTCTGAGGCTGTAAATCGTTAATTAGGAGCTGACAGCGTCATCTTTCTCCCAAGCGGCTGGTGGATTTGAACCTCCGACCTGGTGAGCCCGCTAATTGCTAATTCCTGACTCAGGAGCAGAGCTCCTTCCAACGCCCTGTATCTCTGGACCGAGTTTCCCCAATTGTAAAACGGAAGAAGCCAGAAATGCAAGTGGGGGAGGACGCGAATGCGTCGGTCAGTCCCTCTGCCCCGGGCTCACCGTCAGCCGGTTGCTGGAAGTTGATGTAGGCGTAGCCTAGTGAGCGGCGGGTGGCCACGTCGCGGCACACGCGGATGGAAAGGATGGGTCCAGCAGGCAAGAACTTCTCATAGAGCATGGCCTCGGTCACGTCGGCGTGCAGGTCGCCCACATAGAGCGAGGCCAGCGGGTAGCTCGGGCCGCTGGCGTTCATAGTGGACACGAAGGGCGAGGAAGCGAAGGAGCCGGGTCCCGAGCGAATCCCGGGTTCCGGGAACCGCCCTTGCCCGACGGCGCCCGGGTCCGCTTCTGCGGGTGGGATCCTGGGGAACCGGCGCGCAAAGCGGCGCGAGGTCTCACTCTCGAGGGCTGGTCCGCCCCATCTTTAAGCCCCGGGTCGAGCAGGCCAATCACGGGCGCGCCCGCCCCGGAACCCACCCCTTTCTCCCGGTCCGCACCTGGGACCCTCTGAGTTCTAGAAGACTCAGGTGAGGGGCGTTTCTCTGACTCTGCTCCGGGAGGCAAGGAAACTCTCAACCTGACTGCGGGAGCTGCGTAGAGGGGTTCTGAGACCCTCTAAGCAGCGCAGAAAAGGGCAGAAGACTGGGACGGCGGAGACTGGGGTTTCTTAGGCCTTGAATACCTTTCTGGGCCTATTTTCCTTTTCTGTAGAACTCAGGACTTCATTCCCTCTTCGCAAGGATTAAACAAGACCTCTGTACACGTTTCAATTACGAAGGGGCCGTAGACTCCCAGATGAGTACCGTTTCAAAGCTTGCCTAAGAATTTTATGCAGCCCGTAAAAGTCGTCTTTGAATCCTGGAGAGCCCGGATCCAGCTCCGCTTTTGTGCACCAACGGTGGAAAATGTTTTACAGCGTGGTTTGGGACTATGAGGCTTCGTGTATCATTCAAGACCACTCGGACCTTCCTTGACACAGTCCCTGCCCATCTCGCTGGGCTGTCATTCTTTCCACCTGGGAACTCAAGACTCCACCAGTTACTTCTGAGTCAATGTTGTTATATCTACATAAAAATCACCTGGTGGGTCTTGTTAAAATGTAGATTCTGATACAATTTATGGAGGGGGAGAAGGGAGGAAAGGCAAATTCTCAGCGGGATGTCAAACCAGATTGAACTACTTTAGAAGCCATGGTGGGAAAATAAGATACAGCAAGAGAGTAAGACAAGACTCCCTGGACAACCAGAGCAGTCTGCAACCTCAAACTATTTGTAATATTCCGCTATTTAAAAATTTTAGAATCCACCGAGGTCCAGTACTTCACCTTGCCGCTCATCATGGGCAGTTTTCTGACTTGGAATTGGTTGGAGCTGGGACAGGCTCCCCATCTAGGAGAAACAAGAGTTGTCAAATTTCACAGCAGTAAAGTAGCCTTACTGAACCTGAGCTAAAACATTTTAGCTTGATTTTTTTTTCTCTCTCTCATGGGAGTGGTGGTAATGTGCTGCCGAGTCGGTTCCAACTCATAGCGACCCTATACAGGGTTTCCGAGGCTGTAAATCTTTACAGGAGCAGAAAGCCTCATCTTTCTCCTGCAGAACAGCTGGTAGTTTTGAACTGCTGACCCTGAGGTTAGCAACCCGATTTGTAACTACTACGCCTTATGGGAGGAGATATCTTTATTGTGTGCCAGTCAGTTCTGACTCACAACCGTACGTGTACAGGGTTTCTGAGGAGCAGTTGGTGAGTCTGAACCACTGACTTTGTGATTCCTAGTCCAGTGCTTATCCTACAGCACCACACCAGGACATCTATGTTGTTAACTTGGTTCTGACTCAGCAACCCTGTATACAGTTTCCAAGGAGTGGCTCGTGAGTCTGAACAGCAACCTTGCAATTCCAACTGAACTTGAGGTCCACTGCTTATCCTACAGCGCCAAACAGGCTGTCCTTGTTTTGTTGTGAAGTACCGTTGAGTTGGGTCCAACTCATAGCAACTGTGTATAGGGTTTCCAAGGAGCGGCTGGTGAGCTTGAACCGTCGACCTTGTGGTTCAAACTGACTTTGCAGTCGAGCGCATTAACCCACAGTGCCACACCGGGGCTCAGGCTATCTTTAGGAGGGGGTACGTAAATCCCATGAAGAAAAAGAGTTGCAAGCGTTGACCCTAAGCAGTGACATGACAGATGACAAAGGTTGGTGTAACTTTAGACATGACCAAGTCCTGTGCAGCCACCTCTCGCTTCACTGCTTGTTACTATCTCAGGGGGAGAGATGGGCACAACCTGAGGTAGGCCTTGAGTGTTATACAAAAAGAATTCAACAGACTGCTGTGTGCAGTGTATAGGGTTGCCAAGGCTATCGATCTTTTAGGGAGCGCAGAAAGCCTCATTTTTCACCAGCGGAGCAGCTCATGAATTTGAACTGCTGACTTTGCAATCAGCAGCCCAACGGGTAACCCGTATGCCACCAGTTGTTATATCACTTCCGACTCACAGCATTCCTCAACAGGGTTTCTAGAAGCAACTAGTGGGTTTGAACCACGGACCCTGCACACCAGAGGAGCCACAAAAGGTCTAACAACAGGATGGTTTTGTAGGGGAAGGTGGAGAAGCATCAGGTGGAAAGGAGTTGTGTGTAGAGGGTAATTGCATCCTCTTTACAAGACCTTAACTTGGGGCTAGGGGTTGAACTAAAGCTGATGCCTACTTTTAGGGTGGCGCTGTGGGAGAAACCACTAGACTGTAAAGTCGGTTTGAGCAACAGGGTCGCTATGAGTTGGAACCGACTCAACAGCACTTAACTAATGAAGTGTGATCCGAATAGCTAGCTAGTTCTGGTAGTAATAGAGACGGACTGACAAACCAATTCACAGGCAACTAACTGATAAAATTTATTTCACTTTTGAATTTGTACACTTTTCCTGATTCTGTGTTAAGGTGAAAACTAGAACGGTTTAAAAGACATACACAAATCTAGTACATCAATAACCAGGGAGTTTTCTATTTTTTGCTATACTATTTTCACAACCACAGGTGTGCTTGCTAGGCAATATAACTATCACAGAAGCAAACGGTAGGCAGAATACTGGTAAGGAAAAACAAAGCCAGAAAGAGCTACCAGATATACAGACAGGCTCGGTTCCACATTCACTACTGCATTTATCAAGCGCCAAGTATTAACTGAACATTCTCGTTCAGCTAGAAGGAGAGGGGGAATTTTTTTTTTCCTTTTTTTGGTTTGTTTTAAATCAGTGCATGAATTTTTCTGTTCTCATTTCAGCAGATGGACACACAGATGGGACTCTACAGGTAGAGGAATGTTAAGGGCCTAGGGGTGATCATCGGAGACGGATAGGCCGGCTCTTCTAGGTTCTCTCCACTGATGTCCATGCAATGTCCCTGCATTCTAAGGTCTTGTTTAAACACGTCTGGAAACTTAACTGGATGAGTACACTTGTGCGAGCCAGTGACAGGTACTAACAAGCATTATCAGGGCTGGCTGCGTTACAGGGAGAAGTTATGGGTAATTTAAAAATACTTTTCTGATTCAGGTCTTGGTGTGACTGAAGAGCACTGGATGAAGACAGCTAGGATGCTGGCAACTCTTCCCAACTCTTTGAAGCCTGGCCGCTCACAAGGATGCTCATCAACTTCTCTCAACCCCGCCAGGCCCCCATCCCTGTCCATATAGTACTAAACAGTGAACAAAAAAGACAGAGAAAGAGCAAAAGGCAAAAAGACACCCCCCCCACCAAAAAAAAAGGGAGGCAGAAAGTCAGAAATTTGAAGAGGGAACAGAGAATCAGTCAACAGTCCCTCTTCCATCCCCCACACCAAAAAGGACAGTGGGAAAGAATGTTTTGATGTCAAAATTTAAAAGCCCCAAGCTAGAAAGGACCCAAAGATTTGGGTACTCCTCAAGCGAAGGGCAATTACTGCAGAACATTATTTTATGAGAAATTATCCAGTAAACAGATAAGGCAATTCATAAGATACACCCTACTCCACCCTCTCCTGTAGCTGGGCGGTTACAAAGCAAATACATCCCACTATTGAAGCACAAGTTGCAAATGATAATATTTTGCAGTAGGAAAGGGGGTTTAGCCATGTGTGTTATATGAGCACTGGACCTTTTTATGGTGTCATAACCCAGCCAACTGCCACAAAGAATTTCAATTTCAGCTTCATGTTTCCTCAGAAGACGACACTATGGACATTTGTGATCATGAGTGCTCAACAGCCCAAACTGGTAAAGTGTCTACAAACCCTGAAGAACCGGCAGAGTTACCAAGTTAAATGAATTCAAATGCCAAACGACAGGTGTCTCACTCCAAGTCCCAGCGTCACAATATAATCTCTATAACTTTCTGTACAACTTTACAACGGAATTGTATTTCAATGACTATTTTGATGTCAGATTTAACTTTCCAAAAAGTTACACATATTTCAGGTCTATTTTTTTTCTACCAGTGAGAGTTCTGCTAAGTTACAAAACCCCATAATCACAGTGTTCAGTTAAAAAAAAAAAAAAAAATTAAACACAGTAATCCTGTAATGTAAATCACAACTCAAAACTTCAGAATGCCGTGGCATTTATGTGACCAATCTGAGTTTTAGATACAAACACCAGCTATTTATCCCATGGACCATTTTTGCTAGGTTGAGGCTGTGAAAAATCGAGAATCGACATACGATTCATTTTTTTTTTTTTTATCGCACAAAGGGATATATGTAGAAGGTACAGAGTGACACTGAGAAGATCACGAAGCACAGTAGACATTAGTTCTCGCCCTCCCCAGCATCTGCTTCATCTCCCTGGTTTTCCGACGTCCACAGCTGCAAAAGAAAAAATATAGCTATATAATATATTCAAAATAGGGCTACTGAAATTTACTCAGAGAGCTGGCCCAATCCATACAGCCTGAATCACACAACTGTTTAAAATTCTTTCTGTATCCCTGCAGACAGTGATGACTGCAATGGTAAAACTAGTTGTCCTACTTATAATATGCTATGTAAACATTTAAATTTTTAAGTACACTTACCAGGGTACAGATCTCCTCTGGAATCGGGATGACAGAGGGCTATTACATAGTCAATAGTCCCTGGAATTAGCAGTACTTACCGTGAGATTGTCCCTAAGTAGCTGCATGATCAGAGTGCTGTCTTTGTAGGACTCTTCGTTCAGTGTATCCAATTCAGCAATCGCCTCATCAAACGCCTAAAAGAAAGAGCCTTTAGCCAAGAATTTCAGGATCTTTGGAGTAACATCAGCCCAATTTTTTCTAGTAACAAGTATATGTAACTTCTCCTCTGTAAACTACTTAGGCGACTATTGTTGTTGTTACAGTGCAGTTGAGTCGGTTTCGACTCGTAGCAACCCTGTACAGGGTTTCCAAGGAGCAGCTGTTGGGTTTGAACCACCGACCTTGAGTTAGCAGTCCAGTGCTTATCCTATAATGCCACACCATGACTCCTAGGGGAACACAGGCTATCAGTAAGTTGCCTAATTATTTTAGCAAATGTATTAGGTATATTTACAAAGCACCCACCAACAAACAGAATTCCTACAAAAGAATGTTGCTGTTAAGTAAGAATTTTTCTAAAACAACCTATAGCACTTTCATTCTAGGCAAATTCACCTGATTTCTTCATTATAAAGGCATTACTTATAAGTAATCTTTTAGAACAAAACAAAATAATCAAAAGCTCTGGATATAGAGGAAAAGGGGAGAGAAAAGAGCTTGCATCATTAAAACTGATTTAAGTGACGGAACTTTGAAATCTTTTTTAAATATGAATTAAGTAACAGTTGCCTTCTTTGCCATGAGACTAAGAACTAGATGGTCACAGCTACCATTATTGAATATTTTGATCAGAAGGGGGAAAATACAGAAAAGAATTTAAAATTCTTATGACATCCAGACTTCTGGAGCCATAATGTCTGGTTGCCTGAAATGATCTTTAAACCTTAAACCAAAATCATCCCCTAAAGTCTTCTTAAACCCTAACAACTAGTAAAGAATGTCTGCCTTGAGCACTGTGCTCTTTTACGATCTGTCTATATGGGCTCAAACTGACAGCAGCAGTTTGAAAGATCAGATGGGAAATTTAAGAAGCAGTAAAGCTAAGCTAATAGGGAAAAGCAAACCCAAAGTGGAAAGATATAATCCACGTTGAAACTATTAATGTATGCTCTGCTGTGTATACTAATAGTACAAAACAAAAATGATTAAAAAAAAAAAAATTAAAGCTACAGTAAACATGCTAAACCAAAACCCAAACCAAATCTAGTGCCACAAGTAGATAGATTCCAACTCAGTGATCCTGTATAATAGTTTCTGAGGTTATAAACCTTTAAGGAACTAGAAAGCTGCTTTCTCCTGAAGGGCAGCTGGTGGGGTTAACAGTCCAGTGCTTATCCCATAGCAAAGTCACAATGTGCATACCAAATTATTGCAAAAATATGTTGAAAGGCAGTGGATTACCAAAACTGTGTACTTAAGAGGAAATCCAACATATAAAGAAGAGAGTCTGATTTATTTATACAGCCATAACCTCAAATCTTGATAGAAGGATGACGGTGTGTATCAACGAGACCTGCAGCCCAAGCTTGACAAGAAACCACAAACTATTCTACTTTCATCCTGAATTTTCTACATTCCCATAACCTCTCCTAAAATAAACAAAACCACCAACCAAACAAAAATCTGCAGGTGTTGAGAAGAAAAAAATGAATAGATCTATATTTACTGTCTTGAAAAAAAGTCCAAGCCAATAAATTATGTTCAAATAAAAAAGAAGAAATACGGAGATTGCAATCATTGCAATGAAACGAGTAGTGTAAAACTGATGTTCCCCCGTGTAAACTATCACCCAGCTCACAATGAAAACTTAAAAAAAAAGTAGAAGAAATACTGTTTAACTGAGATTAGAAACCACAGAGAGGGTCATCTTTCTCACCGTTTTTGCCAGGCTGCAAGCCTTTTCAGGAGAATTTAGAATTTCATAATAAAAGACTGAGAAATTTAGTGCCAGGCCAAGTCGAATTGGGTGTGTAGGCTGCATTTCTTTCTTGCTAATTTCAAATGCTTCCTGGTAAGCCTGCTGGGAGTTCGACACAGTGGCTGAAAAAAGAGGAACAATATTGGAGGTTAGGCTGATAAGATGCATCATCATACACTGGATCCACTATCACATTATTTTACCATGCTGAGCTGGAGCAAATTACCTATCAACAAACATTTGAAAAAATGCTTTTAAAATACCTCAAGTACTGTACTGAAAACAAAGACAATCATGACAAAGTATAAAGCAGTTAAGAAAGACAGACATAACCTTTAACAAGATAACACTATGTTCTAGCGGAAAGATCACAAGCTTTGGCGTCAACATGCCCAAAACTAAGTTAAATTCCCAACTCTTAATCACTAAGTGTGTGGCTTGGAACAAGTGACGGCTACAGTGAGCCTGGGTTTCCTTATTAGAAAATGAGCAGACTCCTAGTTAAACCACAGGGCTATGTGAGGGCAAATGACAGTGTAAACTAGTCGGCACAGTAAAAAACAACCCACCACCACCACCACCGAGTTCATTCTGACTCAGCAACCCAGAGTAGAAGCCCCCCAGGATTTTGACGGCCATAAACCTTTACAGAAGCAGATTGCTGCATCTTTCTCCTGTGGAGTGGCTGTTGGGTTCAAACTGCCCACTTCTCAGTTAGTAGTTTAGTGCTTAACCACTGTGCCACCAAAGCGCTTTACTTGGCACATATTTTGGTTAAGTGCTATAGAGTCGATTCCAACTCATAGCGACATTGTATAGGGTTTCTGAGGAGTGGCTGGTGGGTTTCAAACGCCAACTTTTTGGTGAGCAGTTCAATGCTTATCTTACAGCACCACAGCAGGATCCCATGTTGTTGTTAAGTGCCGTAGAGTCACTTCTGACTCATAGTGACCCTATGTAGGTTTTCCAAGGAGTGGCTGGTGAGTTTGAACTGCTGATCTTGTGGTGCAGCTGCTTTATCCTACAGCGCCACACCAGGAGTCCACACAGTAGGCACTTAACACGGTATGGCTATAACAATCACAATGATAATTAAGTGTGATAAAAGTACACCATTACGGTAGTAGGTTTCTACCTTCAAAAATGTAGTTTCACTTCTACAAAAGAGAACTACCAAAGACTCCTCAAGCCAGAGATCTCAGTGAGTTTTGGTCAATGAGAGAGGAATAATTCGGAAAAGAATGAAGAATGGTCTTTTTCAACAACAACAAAAAGGAAAAGATTTTCTTAAATGCACCACAATACCATGCTTTTAATAACCTCTATTATTTTGCCCCTGAGAAACATATTCAGATTTGTCAAACACCACCATCCTGTTCATCACAGGTCAACACAATCCAGTGGCTTTAACTCTGAGGGCTGTGCTTCCAGGGTCTATGGTGAACAAAGTACAAACGGTTACAAGTCATTATGAAGGAGAGCTGGCTCCATACTGGTCCAATGTTACTTACTTTGTTTATTGTCTCCAGATGCCACCTCAGAAAGATATCTAAAATAATCTCCTTTCATTTTCAAATAGAACACTTTACTTTCTGGTTGTACAGCATTGGGAATGAGGTATTTGTCCAACAGCTCCTAAAAAGCAATTCACATTCTGTTAAGAATCTGGAACTATTATTCAAAGAATTATTATGTTAAAAAATAAACTAGATTTGAGATTCAAAGTACACACTATTTCTAAATATATATATATTTATATATACATGTTTTGTTTTGTTTTTTAAAACAGGCATTTTTAGCCAAAGCTTTTAAGTGTTGTCTAAGCTCAGATCATAAGAGATGCCTGTATCCTTCTATAAAATCACTTTGACCCGCCTCCATAAACAGTTGATTATGAAATGCCACATAGGTCTTGAAAATGAAGATGCACAATCTGAGTGAAAAGAGCAGATTTTAAATACCACATGAATCCTATTTTGATTAGAAGGATATATATACACTAATCTAACAATGGTTCTCCAAGTAACAGAATTAGAAGTGAATTTTACTTATTTTACACTCCTCTACCCTATTGTTTTAAGGAGCTCTGGTAGTATAGTGGTTACGAATCGGGCTGTGAATCGCCAGGTCAGCAGTTCGAAACTACCAGCGGTTCCACGGGAGAAAGATGAAGCTTTCTGCTCCTGTAAAGATTTACAGCCTCGGAAATCCTGTAGAGGGTCGCTTTGGGTCAGAACCGACTCCACGGCCCATAACCACCACCACCACCCTATTCTTTGGAGTCCTAGTATGGCGCTGTGGGCTAATGCGCCAGTCTGCAAAGACACTAGAACTGCAAGGTCGGTGGTTCAAGCTCATCCACTGCTCTTTGGAAACCCTACACAGGGTCACTGTGAGTTGGAACTGACTCAATGGCACTTTAAAAAAAAGTAAGTTTCTTTCTTTTCTGCAACTAGAGGGGAAAGAAAGATTGCTATCTTGGATGGAATAAAAGGTAACAGAAAAACTGTCAAAACTAAACATAGATCAGAAAATATATAGGTCCAAATCCCTCCCCTGCCAGTTACTATCTGTATGTCACCATGAACCTCAGTTTCCTCGGCTCTAACAAAGGTGACCTTTTAGGAGAATTATGAGGAATGTGTAATATACAGACAGTGCTAAAAAGGTGATTAGCAGCTATGTGCCTTAGAGCAGGAGGCTGGTTTGCAGAATATGCTCTCTGGATATTTAAAAATGAACACGTATTTTTTTATTTGTATGTGTACATCAAGTATTTTTGCTTTCTTCATTTGTGAAATATAAGATGTAAATGGGGAGCCAAAGGAAGGAAGTAGGACCACTGTTGTTACAGGGAGAGGACTGTAATCATTTGGAAAAAAGTATGTAATTTGTTGAATGTACAACTGATGATCTTGTCTCTAAACCTTCACTCAATTCGCAATAAAAAGTAAAAAAAAAAAAAAAAAAAAAGCTGCTTAGCAGTCAACAAAAGGACTCAAGAGTAGCTAATAATGTTAATAATAATAAATTCCTGTAAACACTAATACTTACAACAAAAAATTTATGTTTATAACAAAGTTCGTGAACCATTAACAAATCCCAAATAACCAACAGGAAACAAGATCAGCATGGCACTCTTACATCACCAGTCTAGTGAAAAGAACAGCTCAAAGCAGAAGCTGAGTTGTATGGAGATCGAATCCAAGTGAGAGATGCAAGGGGAAGTAGTCACTTTAATATTCTTTGCAGACAGATGGGGTAACTCCTTATGCATTAGGGATGAGCAGTATATTTCCTGGGTGGCTGACAAGCTATGTACTGGTTATAAAAAAAAAAAAAAAAAAGTATCATGGGCAGTAATCTGGTCAGGCAGCCAGCAGGGGAGCAGATCTACAAGAGTGAATTCCTCTTCCCTTCAAAGCAGCCCTTACCATTCATTTTTACCTGACACCACCTGAAGAAAAAAGTTTCCAGTGGGCTCAGGGTGTGAGGAAAAGACAATCCAATCATGACAGGCAGTAGGATATGCACCCCTCCTACCCAACCAACCCAAATCCAAGGCTGAGGGAAAGCAGTTAGGAATTAATCTTCTGATTATGGCAAATATAAAACATAGGAAAGCAGAATCCCCAAACCATTTATTTGGAATTGTGATGGAATGAACTAATAGAAGAGCTCAACGTGCACTAGGACAAAAACAGGACTTGACACTGTGAAGGTATGATTGGGAAGAGGCTGGAAGACCCCTCTGCTTCGTGATCCTGCGTCCCCTTACTGGAGCTGGTATCACTACTCTAGACCAGAACCTACACTAGGTGCTATGTGGCTTCATCAATAAAAAATCCCACCTGGCTGGCCCCAATTGCAAAAGAAAAGATGGAGGAATGTTGACTAATGTTTCTGTTTCTCACAGATGGTTTTGATGGAGAATACCCCTAAGTGATGAGCAAGCTCTCTGATCTAGCAGGAGGTGAAAAAAAATTGCATCCTAGGCCTAAGAATCAGCTGCAAATTGTCTGCAGCTTTCCAGTGTATTCAGACACCTCCATCTCTCGCTCTCTCTCCCATAAGCTGTGAAAGACTTTGCATTTGTACATTACTATTTAGAAAGCACAGCTTAAAACAGAAACACTTACCAGGACATCATTGCAGATGTCCTGCAGTTCCGCCTCTATCTTCTCCCGGTATTCTTTGCCCATCTGTTGCTTCTTCTCATTCCTCTCCGTCTTCTGCTCAATGCTGGAGATGACACGCCAGGAAGAGCGGCGGGCACCTACCACATTCTTGTAGGCGACAGAGAGCAAGTTCCTCTCTTCATTGCAGAGTTCGTGTCCCTGTTCTGTGACTGCCTTCATGGCTGCAGCCATATCATCGTAGCGCTCAGCCTGCTCAGCAAGTTTGGCTTTCTGTACAAGCTCACTTTTATCCATGGTCATTCCCTAAAACGAGAAAAAGAATAAAGGAATCATCAGGCAGATCCCAAGACATGCACTTGGAATCTTCTTCCAACCAATCTGGAAAGATACATACCTAAATGTGAAGCAGCTGCTTCCAAATGCCTCAACACTGACCACATACGAGGCACCCACAAGATTAAGGTACTAGCTAACTAAGGCTTTTATCTTATTTTGTTTAGCACTGTAGGATAAGCATTGGACTAAAAGACTGGATTGAACTGCAAAATCAGCGGTTCAAACATACCAGTTGCTCCTTTGAAACCCTATACAGGGTCGCTATGAGTCAGAAGTGACTCAACAGCATTTAAAAAACCAAAAACATTTCCCAGTAGCCCTACAGGGTAGCTATGCTCACAACCATTTCTTCTCCTTTTCAAAAGCTGAAGAAATGGAGGCTCAGAAAAGATATGACCTATGACCAGGTCAACACTGCCACTGTCCAATTCTGCACCACACCTGGTATGGCTCAAGTACATTTGCTGCTATATTTTGAGTGCCTTTCAATTTAGGGGCCTCATCTTGTAGCTCACTATCAAACAATATTCTGCCATGAGCCATAGTTTTCATGGGCTAATTTTCAGAAGTAGGCAACCAGGTCTTTCTTGCTTGTTGGGAAGCCTATCCACCTGCTGTATTTCAAATTCTGGTAGCATAGCTTCCAGCATTGTGCTGTTGTTGTTAAAAGCTGCTGATTTGATCCCTAACTCATAGCAATCCTGAATAGGGGTTTCTGAGGAGCAATTAATGGGTTTGAACTGCGAACCTTGAAGTTAGCAGTCCAGTGCTTATCCACACTAGCATCACAGAAACATGCAAACCAGCACAGTACAACAAAACCAACAGGGAGGAAGCGTTGGTATACGGTGTTGTTAGTGCTGCAAGTTGGGTTCAACTCATAGCAACTGGTAGGTTTGAACCGTGGACCTTACAGTTAGTAATCTAGTGCTTACCCTACAGCACCACACCAGGATTCCTTCCCCAACGTATGCTGTTGTTAAGTGCCATCGAGCTGGTTGTCCCGACCCATAGTAACCCTAAAGAGGGTTTCCAAGGAGCAAATGGTGAGCTTGAACCGCCAACCTTGCAGTTCAAATGGCTTTGCAGTCTAGCGCATTAACCCACAGCACCACATCAGGCCTCCTTCCCCCCACCCCAAGTGTAGAGAGACAGCTTATTAGCTATTTCCTTGGAAGCTTATGCTAAATATATATCCTTTATTTATTTAAAAGTTTGTCTGGTTTTGACCAAATCTATAATCCTCCCATAGTATAAAGTATAGGGCTTTCAAGGAGTGACTGGTGAGTTTGAACTGCCAACTTTAAGGTTAGTCGCTCAGTGCTTATTCTAAAGCACCACAACCAGGACTACAAATATCCTGTATGTTGTTGTTGTCATTGTCAAGTGCTGTCGAGTTGGTTCCGACCTAAAGTGACCCTGTATAGGGTTTCCAAGAAACAGCTGGTAAGCTTAAACCACCAACCTTACAGTTCAAACAGCTTTGTCATCTGGCGCAGTAACTCACAGCACCCCACCAAGACTCCAAATATCCTATATATATTCCTCACTAATTCTAAGTTGGAGTCCTGGTAAGCACAGCACTGCTAACCACAAGGCCAATGGGTCAAACCCATCAGCCACTCCCCGGAACATCTATAAGGGTCGCTATGAGTTGGAACCAACTTAACAATTCTAAGTTTACACAATGAAGTCGTCTCACCAGGATCCATCTGTCATCGTCACTTACATCACTAGAATGAAATTACAGCAGAGATCAGTGATCCTCATGAAACATTCCCACTGCTCCCTGGTTTCCCAGAAACCCGCAGCAACAGTTAGGAGGAACCATATCATAGTGTTCATTTCAATAAAACATTAGGCACAAGGGTTACTAATTTCAGGCTGAAACTATGTGTAATTCTACAGGCTGTTTTCTACAGCCACCACCTAGATGGCCATGCCTTCTAAATATGCCTTGAACACAAAGCAGTGAGGTTACTGCATGTGTCATGCACAGATTCCTGCAGAGCTGCACTGGATAGACACTGTGAAAAACAAAAAAACTTTTGTTGGGGCAAGTCACTGAGATGTTGGGGTTGCTACCACAAAGAACAAATGAGTCTACTTTAATACAAGTGCCTCAAAAACTGCACTATTGATCTAGAAATTAAATACTCTCTCAGCAAGTCAAACTTTCTTGACCATAAAGGTTTTGAGATCAGAGCAAAATCTGTATCATTACAGAACCCTAACTTCACTGTTTCTGAGAGTGCCAGGCACAGTAGAGAAGCTAACTTTCAAGGATTTGATCAACTTTAGAAAAGTCCAATCTGTAGACTTATTCAGATAAGTATTGGACTACTAACCAAAAGGTTGGTGGTTCAAACCCACCAGCCACTCCTTGAAAACCCTGTAAAGGGTCACTATGAGTCAAAACTAGGAGCTCTGGTTGCGTAGTGGTTACAAATCGTGCTGTGAACTGCAAGGTTAGCAGTTCCAAACTATCAGCTGAGAGAAAGATGAGACTTTCTGCTCCCAAGATTCACAACCTCAGAAACCCTGTACAAGGTCGCTATGAGTCAGAACCGACTCCAGAGCACATAACCACCACCACGAGTCAAAACGGACTCAATGGCACTTAACAGCAATCATTCAGTGGCCCACTTAAAAGTTCATAAAACATGAGCACTTAATGCAACTCTGTCTACGCAAGATTCAAATTAATAATGTGCTGGCCAAAAGTCAATTCACAGCTAAGCCATCTAGGTAGTATTCTAATACAGTAACAAAAATGCAAAGGCCAATACCTTTGAAACATACCAAGAAACTCTTTGACCCTCTTAGGTCCCCACATAAAATCCTTTCCCCTACTTCCTCTCTCCTCCCCAAGCACTAAAAGTTACATCATACCTCTCCAATGACTCTTGCAAACTCCTTGGAACAGCTCAAACACACACCAATTTCTCACAATAAAATGTGGCCTTTTGGTATGGGGTCAACTGTTTTAATTTCTTTGGGATCATAACAAGAACTCTTAGAGATGCATACCTTAAAAAATAATCTGTATCCACAATTGGTTTATTGCTTTTTAATTACATAGAGACACCAAAACAATTTACAACAAACAAAATCCATGCTAAATGTTGTGATGCCTGCTGCTTATGTAATTTTTGACTTATATAACGTGGATTTTGAAGTAGCTAGACCAATTTCAACAGAAAATGGGTTACAAAACACTCAGCAGTTTGAAGAAAGGCAGCAAACAAGGGAGAAATGAAATTGTTCTTATTTCTACATCAACATCTCCTATTCATTCTCTCCTCTTTTCTCACTGTTTCCAGTCTCTCCAGTCCTTTCAGGTCTTTGATATCAGAATCATCTTTTGAAAGCAATGATCAAGTCACTTCTCTACACAGTCCCCTGCTGCCCATATTAGTTGTCAGCTGTCCTGGACTCATGGAGACCCCATGTACAACTAAACACTGTCCAGTCCTACACTATTCCCATTATCGGTGACCATTGTGATCCAGAGGGCTTTCGTTACAGAGGATCATCAGATCTCTTCCCATGAGTGAAAGCTTCCCAACCTCTCTCTCCTGACTTTCCCACATCGTGCCTTCAACACAAGAGCTGTTTCTGCCCAAATGGTGTCGTCTTTCACGCAACGTGTGTTTTTGTCCACTGAATCACACCCTTCCAGTAATGTCCTTTCCCTTGTACTACTTATTCTGCATACAGAATTATTTAGGCCACAGCTCAAATGACATCCCCTCTCAGAAGCCTTTCTGAAACCACTGTCTGTACTATAGCCACTAGCCACATGTGGCTATTCAGCTGAAAAGTGGCTAATGCCACATTTTGAACTCATAATCTGTGACACCAGTGAGACTTGGAACTTGACAGGACGGCCTTGCTTGGCCAAGCCTCACAAGTTTTCTACCTGTCAGGATACAGTCTTTCTGTTTTCCTTCTCTGGCATATTTCTACTTTATACAGGTTCCAGCTTTCCCAGGTTTTACTGTTTTGGTATATAATGGGTCAAATTAAAAAATATATCATTAGAACTCATTTTGCCTTTTTTAAAAACTGTGGCTACTAAAAAAATGTAAATTACTTGTGGTTCTACTCTATTTCTAATGGCCAGCACTGCTCTCTAAGCTAAATTTAAACTTAGAAAGCATTTCATCTATACTCGTCAATGCCTTGTCACATTCCTTCAGCAACAGAAGTATTTGTATACATCTTAAGTCACTTGTTGTTAGTGTTAGGTGCCATTAAGTGGGCTCCCACTCCCTGGCCAGTCCTGCACCATCCCCAGGACCTCTGGTATGCACGAGGCCGCTGTTTCGGCTGCTGCACTGCCCCATCTCACTGAGCTCCCCTCAGTCTCACTGCTCCTTTGAGGCACACCTTTACACACTGCCTTACACAATAAATGGTACAACTGAATGAACAGATGTCAAAATGACAGAACAAAACTGCACAGTAGAGTTCTCTTTTCCCTCAAATAATTAAATATACCTGTTATCCAAAAAGTACACTGAATTCTCATGACATTCATTCATACCTCATTCCTCACACATAATTTTAAAATTACTCTTCCTGAACTATCCCTCAGTCAAACCTCCACCCTGACTCAATTAACATTCGATGACTCCCCTTTGACTACTCTATTAAATCTAAACTCTATCTGGCTTTCAAAGTCTTTCTATAATGTTAGCCTTTCTCATCCACCATTTTCCAACATGTAACTTTCTCTCAAACTGGGCATCATCGCATGTCCTATAAATGCCAACACACCTGAGTATACTTCATCTAGAACAGGTGGGGAATTTCTAGCCCGCAGGCCACATAAGGCCCTTGGTACCATTTGGTCTGGCCCTGCAAAGGGAACCACAGTTGTAGCCATCACATTTATTGTTGTTAAATGCCATCGAGTCGGTTCAGACCCACAGCGACCCTGTATAAGGTTTCTGAGGAGTGTC